CTGAAATGATTCTTGAAGCTCTATGATATTTCTTACTTAAGATCTCTCTTCTTTTCCTTTCACATTCTATTTTATTCTGAATTTCACTAATCTTTTGTAATCTAAAGTTATGATCAGAAAATGGTGGTGCAGATGGATTTTCTGAAAACTGGTTAAGATCTGGATAAAGTTGTTTACATTCATTTTTACATTCCATTCTTTTTCTATAAAGAAAAATTTGTTTAATTCATTTTATAAATCTTTGCTTCGCTAAGTTATTTTAATATTTTTTTTATTTACCAAAATCAAATACAGTAGAGTCTTTAGCTTTGTTTGATTTATCTAAACTAGGTTTATCTTCATCACATATAGTTTCTTTAATTATGTCTCCTATACTTGTTAATATAGATTTTACAGATTCTTTATCACTTTGAGACTTTACTTGTTCTACTTTTTTATCAGGTTATCAGGTTCTAAAGTAACTCTATGTGATATTTAATTTACATTAAAAACACCATTATAAGTTGATATACAGCATAACAAATCCCCTTTTTTAATATTTATATCTTTTTTATCGTTATTATATAAAGTTATTTTAATATCATCAGTAGACTCTATTACAACAGAATTTAGTAAATTTAGCGTTGGTTTATAATTTTTTGCAAGTGAAATCAATACATGCCCTTTATCTATTTTAACTCCACACATTAAAGAAATGTTATTATATAAATTTGATTTTACTGTAAAATCTTCTTGTGCGAATACTTTAATATGTCTATCATTTATTGCTCTATGTTCTAAATCTGAATTAATATTAAAAGTTATTGTATATTTTTCATGCTTTTCATAATCTAAAAACATTCTTCTCTTATACATTTTTTATAAATCGTAAAGATTTTTTTAAGTCATAAATATTAAATATTTAATATTTAATATTTTAAAGTTCTTACAATATAATTTACAATTTGTTCATTCTCATGTAAATAATAACACTTTTTATTATCATTAATATTTTTATATAAAGTTATTTTTTCACCTTTTTTATTTTTCATTATTTTCTTTTCTGTTAATTTACATAGTTTAAAAGGACAATTCTCTACGTTTTCTTTAATTTCATCTTTAGTATGAGCATATTTACATTTATCTTTTAAAGGACATTCTTTTTTATCAAGACTATATTTACATAATTTAGTTTTTGCATTTCTTAATTTTAATAATTCTGACTTTTTAGGATGAAATAATCTACACTCTTTATTCTTACATTTAGGATATTCAGAACATAGAGCAATATGTTTATATCTGCATGAAACTTTAGTGCATATTAATCTTTCTTTTACAGTATTACAATAAGGAATATCATGATTGTATTTACATTTTCTTCCAAAAGGGCAAAAATCATCTTTTAATATATTTTTACAAAAAATAGGTAACTTTTCTACAAAATGAATTGCAGAAGGTTTTCCATCTTCTGTAAAATTAATTTCAACATTAAATGGTTTTTCAAAACTAAATTTTCTGTTTTTGTTATGTTTTTTAACAAAAAACTTATCTATAATAGGATAATCATCATCGGTATTATCATTATAAGTTGGAACATAATTAATCCATTTCAGTTTATCTTTATACAATTCCATAATTTGTACTGTTTTTGAAGGAATTGGAACTATAAATTTTTCTTGAATTTCATCTTCATCAGAATCATCAGATATAAAATAAGTATCATTTTCAGAGTCATAATCAGATTCTTCAAATTCAAAGTTTCTTATTTCTTCAAAAAGTCTAAATTCTTTTTGAAATTCAGATATTTCATTAATCTCATCATAATTCATTTTTTTATTTTATTATTTGATAAAATATTTTAAATCAAAAAATTTAAAATAAGTTAAATTAATTTTCTTTATATAATAAATGAATACATATTATAAAGTAGATTACTGTCAACTATTTAGTCCTATAATGCTTGAACTAGATAAAGAAGAAGAAAGAATTAGACAAGAAGAAGCATTTGAATTACAAAGAAATTATAATGAAAGGACAATGATAATAGATTATAAATATAATAAAGCAATAAGACTAGGAGAATTAGGAATAGAAAAATTATTAGAAGAGAAAAAGAAATGTTATAATAAGCGAATGCAAATAATAGAATCATACAATGAAAAATTTAGAGAAATAAAAAGAAAGAGAGAACAGATAAAACAATCATTAAAAGAAATGCTTTTTCAAAAATAAAATCACGTGACCTGTGACTTCATGCAAGAAATTTTCGTGATCTTTGACGTCAAAGAAATGAAATTGACACTAATTTTTTAAAATTAAAAAATCATTTTTTAAATTTATATAAATTTAAAAAATTTTATTTCTTAGTTATAATATTTATACACATTATGGATGATAATGAACCATATATTAATATTAATATATGGTTGAAAATATGGTTGAAAATGAAAATGAGCTAGAACCGACAATATGGATGATAATGAACCCTATATTTATTTAAATATAAGGTTGAAAATATGGTTGAAATGAAAATGAGCTAGAACCGGAAATCTTATATAATAAAAATAAAAAATGAGCTAGAGCATACTTGAAAATGAACCCTATATTTAATTAAAATACATGGTTGGAAATATGGTTAAAAAAAATGAGCTAGAACCGGCATATCCTATCTACTCATATCCACGCCAAGCCAATCATGTTTAGATTTTTACACCAACGAATTGTTAGAGTATTAAGGATTATCTATCAAAAAATTATAACCCAATCAGCTTGGCATCATAGTTATCTAGTAATTTATATATGCAAATATTTATATATAAGTATATATACATTTATGTATAAATGTATAAAAAAAATTTTTTGGGAGTTCAAAATTATTTTTAAGTTGTAAAGTGTAGTTTTATATTGTTTTCTAACATCCTTGAGCTCAAATATATGTTATTAAAAAAAAAAAAAAAAGGGGGGGCTAAAAATGTATGTAAGTTGGACATTTTTAACATTCCTTTTACTTTCATTACTCAAATTTACAACTTTAATTGCTTCAACTTTTCCAAACAACACCCTGTTCTCTCCTTACATCATCTTGTAAGCCAATCCTTACAAGATGATGTAATTACCTTACAGTAATCCAAAGCTGTTAGCATAGTTAGTTTAACAGCTGCATAAAAGTTTTTCCAAAGTAAAATTTTTTTAACTATGTTTATAGAAAGACATTTTTCATGATATTTGTTGAGTGTGTTGATAAGTTCACAATAAATTAACAATTGATTGGCTTTTAATTGAAGTCCTGTATGACTATGAATGGCACCTGCTGTATTAAACATTTTTTATTTACTTCTGACTCTATAAAATTTTTGATTTTTCTACTATTTTTCTGAACATAGAATCTTCTGTGTTCAGAGAAATAGAAAGAAAGTATATAAAATAAAACAAACAAAAAAAAGAAAAAAATTAACGGCATTTACCATTGATTTTCTGTGATAAAATTAATTTAATAAAAAAAATGTCCATTTTTGTGCTACCATTTCTTAGCTATTAGTTGTAGAGAAATTGTTTTCCTCTCATCCAAACAATAAAAAAATGTTTTGCAAATATGGTTACTTTTTTATGTTAAAAAAAATAAATAAACTAAATGTTTTGTCTGTTTTGTGTTTTGTGTCATTGACTATCTTATAGCCTGCTGCTGCAAAGGAGTGCTGCTACATTGAATGAAAGTTTGGGATGGAGCAGCTTTCTTTTTTTTCATTATTATTTGTTAATTTTTTTTCTTTTCTAAAAATACTATATTTGCTTCATAAGTGAGAGGTTCCGAGTTTGATTCCCACGATGTCCCTGTTAGTACCGTGCTCAACTTGTTTCTCTGCGCAGCGGCCATGTTCATCAAGGTTCGTATTTCGGAGTTTAAGAGTTGAGAGAGCGTTATAACCACAATTAAGTAGCCTCCTCGTCTGTAGTGGCCTTCTCGGCCTTGGGGAGATGAATTAACAAAAAAAAAAAAAATATGTTATAAAAGTAAAAAAAACTAGTATCAATTTGTAATCTACATATATATAATCATGGCCATAAATATGAGAACGCTGCATTTTTTTTATAGTATGGCTTTTAGAATATAACAAGCAGTTAACACCAATAACAATTAGTTTGTGCTTTAATTATAAAATATGATTAAATTATTAGTAAAAAAGAATCTTAAAGGCGTGATTGTCTCAAAAGTCAATATTTGGTGGGCTGCCCTTTAGTGGGCTGCCCTAATCACAGCCTTTATCCTCTCAGGCATTGAATCAACTAATTTTTGGCAATATTCCAGCGTTATTTCCTGAGTCCAAACAGTCATAATTGCTTTCTTAAGGGTGTTTTCGGAACTAGGATTCTTCGTAGCAACTTTCCGCTTCATCATCATCCATAACTTTTCTATTGGATTAAGGTCCGGGCTGGAGCCAGGCCAAGGTAAAACATAGATGTATTGACCCATTAGCCACTGGCTAACTGCTCCAGTGCGGTGGTAGGGAGCTCCATCATGCTGGAAAGTGGTGCAGTTGCTACAAGCCATATGCTGAGGTAGCTTTTCTTTAAAGATACTGAGATACACTGCTCCATTAATGGTGGTGTTCTTTAGCATAAACCAGATACCGCCCTGGCCTGCTCCGCTAAAGCAGCCCCAAACCATCGTAGTTTGAGCCTGTTTTACAGAAGGGACAACATATCTAATATTGTATTGCTGATTGACTGGTCTTCTAACATGCCTAGTGTAAGAGGCAAACTTGAAAAAAGTTGATTCATCGGAAAACATGACCCTGCGTTATAAGGTTTGAAAGTACATTATAAGGTTTGAAAATAACTGTAATTATTATCTAACAACTATTATCTAACAACTATTATTTAACAACTGTAATTATTATCTAATTGTCTTTACATGATGAAGAATCATAAAACAATAGAAAATTTATATAAATTGTTTCAAAGTAAGTATACAGAAGGATCCTTTTTTTTTAGTTTAAAAAAATATTAAATTAATTATTTAGCTCCTTGTGTTCCTATTGATTGTCATTCATATAAAAATCAAACATGCAGTTTGGTCAATTCCACTTATGCAAAGTGCTATTGCAAAAATGGTTTTATTTCTTTTGATAACCTTGTAACATGTGAAGGTAATTTTATTATCATTTACTTTTAAAAGAAAAGTTCATAGATTATTACTAATTATTCTGTTTTAATTTTTTTAAAGTTCTACTTAAATAACATGCTATTTATACTTTTTTTTTACCAAGATATTAATGAATGTTTATCAGTATCAAATGTCTGTTACAAGAATAGTCAATGTACAAATTTAATTGGTAGTTTTATGTGCTCATGCATAGATGGATATAAATTTAAAGATTACTCGAATGGTTGTGTCGGTGTGTGAAGTTTAAATTTTTGGTATAATTTTTAGTGTTAATATTATTTTTCCTGTTGTATAATTTACACTTTGGAATATTTCTTTTAGATATAAATGAATGTGAAACATCATGTAATACTTCTAACACAACTTGCATTAATACAATAGGATCGTATGAGTGTCGCTGCAATATTGCAGGTTCCTTTTATAACACAACATTGGGTTTATGTCAAGGTATGTTTAAATTTTTTTATCAATCCATATTTTTTTTTTAATTAAGAACAGGAATAATGTATTAGTTAATAAAAATTAAAAATTGGGACTAGAATTGAGAGAAATAGATATAAGAATAAATATAAGAAATAAATATAAGCTGATTTTAAGATTTTTATTTTTTAAATAAAATAACACTGCATTGCAAAATTTAAAAGTATATTATTCAGATATTATAGTGGTAAGTTTAGAGCAGCTGCAGCACAGTGGTTAACCCATTTGCCTCAGAAGCTAGAGACCCATGGTTTAGCGCCATCTTTGGGCATGTTATAGTGTGAACATCCTTTCAAATGATCTTCCACGGTGCTCTGTGATAAAACCGTAAAGACTTCTTGGGGTACTTAAAATAAAAATAAAAAAGTTTATGTAATATATTCAGATATTATAGTGTTAAGTTTATTAGATCATAGGTTGTTAAGTTGGTTAGATCCTAGATTAATAATTTTAATAGATCATAGATTATTAAATTTAATTAGATTATTAAGTTTATGAGATCATAGATTATTAAATTTATGAGATTACAGGTTATTAAGTTTATGATATCATAGAATATTAAGTTTATGAGATCATAGATTAATGAGTTTATGAGATCATAGAGTAATCAGTTATTTTACTTTTACATGTTTGATGAGATCATCCTCTTATCTCTTAATAAATATGTTTTGTAATATTTTTACAACAAGTTTTATAACACATATTTTCTCACAACACATGTTCTCATTAAATCTCATTAAAAACCAGTTAATTACTAAAGCCTCAAACATTTTCTGGCTAAAACCAAAATTTAACTGCTGAACATATTACATTAATTACATGCTGACATTAATTACATGCTGACATTAATTACATGCTGACATTAATTACATGCTGACATTAATTACATGCTGACATGCGAACATATTACATTAATTACATGCTGAACATATTACATTAATTATAATTTTAGTTACACAATTATAAAAAATGCTAGTGAATAGAAATATTTATTTTAGTTTAAAATATTTTAAAATAAATTTGTAAGGTTAGATGTTTTTCCTTTTAATGTTTTAAATGAATTTTAAAGATTTAAATGAATGCAGTTCAACTAAACCATGCGATTCAGTTAGAGGGATTTGTTATAATCAAGACATATTTGAGACTGGTAAACCTTACAGTTGTTCTTGTCCAAGTGGTTGGGAGTTGTCAAAAGATGGAAACAATAGTTGTGTTGGTAAGTTGCTTAGTGCACATTTCCCCTATTGGATTTTTACTAGTAAGGGAAAAACTGTAGTGGTACAGATAAAAAGTATTTTATATTAATTTAACTATCTGTCATAGTATACACATATAAAACCCTTGGAATTAGGAAAAATGAGGTCAGCAATAATTTGCCGACCTCAATCTTTTAGTGGTCAGCATCAGGTCGGCAAAGAAAATTTAATACAAAGTCTTACCGTAAAACATAGAAGCGAGGTCAGCAACGTTTTGCCGACCTCAAACACTTTAAGGTTGGCAGTTAGTTTGGTATTGCCAATTGCCGACCTTAATTCTGAGGGTTGCATATATGTATTGTTATACACACATTATGTAAACAACAGCCTGTTGTGTTACAACCATTTTAAAAGGTTATTTGTTTAAACTCTTTAATGTTTTTTTGTTTTTTTTGCTTTTTGTTTTTTCCAGTTATTTGAGATCTTGATTGTTTTTTAAAGTGTTATAGTTGTTGAAAATTTCAATAATTTATAAAAATCCTAATTCTTTTTCTTCCTATTTCTTTCAGGTTACACTTTTATACTTATAAAAGTTATTTAATTTCAGTCTATTAATTTATTTATCAAAATCTGAATTTTATCAAATTTAATATCTTTATTTTATTTAAATTCTTATTTAATTTTTAGAATTTAAAATGTTAAAATACTAGTGTATACACTGTCAAAAATGAGTATAACTACTTCATTTCGTTACTACCCTATTCGCTACCATGATTCCACCTTTTACTACCATGATCTACCATTCACTGGTTTCATTCATGGCTAAAATATATTTTTTATATTATTGCCAGATAGTTCCAAAGTACTGATCCATTGATTTTTTGCCTTGCTTACTGATACTACTCTGAGATTTTTAATAACAAAGAAAGTTTTTTAACACAGTAGAAGACTGGATCGCTCATATTACATAACACCTTTGTAGATCTAGATACAAATTTCTCTATTGGTTGATTTTACCTGGAACTTTTTGGAGAGTTTTATAAATTCAGGAAAAACCCAGAAAAATAGTTGTAGTAGCAAGTAATCGGGGTCCCAGCCCCGGCTAAAATTGGCACTTTTTACAAACCCAGCCCTGACAAATTATTAGACTTAGCAGAGGTTGATAGCCGGGGCTAGGAAAAAATTTATGAATTCAATATAAAAAGTATTATTATAAATTTTGATTACATTTACATGCATATATTAAATTTATGCATACATTTAATATTTGTCTAATTCACTTCCAACAAAATTGCAAAAATTGTAGTTTGTAATACCAGGAAAACATGAAGATAGGGGAGAGTTTTAAGGTTTGGTTGATGTGCAAGGAAGTAAACCAGATAAATAAAAAAATTTATTGCATGGAATGACAGATTCAGTAAAAGGATGCAATTTTGTTGAATGACAAGCCAAGCAAGAATGAGTTTTGGTTGATTAAACTAGATATGATAGCTCATTTGAGCAGCAACGATGATAGTATTTGTAGAAAAAAGAAAAAGATGCAACCTTACAATGATAAAAGATTGGCTCAAGTTTGGCAGATAAAGCAGGTCCAGCTACTTGTTCTAAGCAATCATAAAGTGAAGAACATTTGTTAGACAAGAATATAAAGTTGAGTTGTCAGCAAATAGAGTCACTATAGATGTAAGCTAAAACTTGATGATAATGATGATGATGATGATGATGATGATGATGATGATGATGATGATGATGATGATGATGATGATGATGATGATGATGATGATGATGATGATGATGATGATGATGATGACGTGATCATGATGATTTTTATATTTAAGTATACATCCATATAAGTATACATATATATATATATATATATATATATATATATATATATATATATATATATATATATATATATATATATATATATATATATATATATATATATATTATCATTTCTATCATCCTATAATAGATTATAGACATGGAACATAAATATCAAGACAATAGATTATAGACATGGAACATAAATATCAAGATAATAGGTTATAGACATGGAACATAAATATCAAGATAATAGATTATAGACATGGAACGTAAATATCAAAATATCTTAAAGTCATAGTCTTAAAGTTTTACATTTTTAATTTCTTTTATGGATATTTCCTTGAAAGAGGCTATTTATATGTCAGTTTGTAAAGTACAGTAGTACTTTGTGCTTTTTTGTTTTGAAATTACGACTTTTTTTCTAGATATTAATGAGTGTTTAACATTGTGTAGTGGAGTAAATGCTTTTTGCATCAACACAGTTGGTTCTTATAAATGTTCTTGTGCTGTTGGTTTTTCATTAAATGCTTCTTCACAGTGTCAATGTAAGTAAAATTGCTTGTTAAAGTTTCTTGAAAAATTCAGATATTTTTATTTTTTAAATTTGATTTAGTAAACAACTGTAGTTGTCCTTTAAATTCCAAATGCGCGGTTAATGGCACAATTAATGGAAATTTTGGTTGCACATGTGATTTTGGCTATTCACCTAACTATATGTCTAACTGTGAAGGTAAAAAATTTTATTTAAGTTGTTTCTTTGAACTTGTAACTAAGTTTATGTAGTTTATGCAAAACAGGTTACATAAGTTTTCAAACTAATGTAAAAAAAAAAAGAATAAAAAAGAAGTTTACAAACTAATGTCATTAAAAAAATACCAGTTTGAATTGTTCTTAGAAACTATCTTTATTACTTACATGACCATGTAATCAGTTCATAAAGATCAATTCAAGTTGTTTTTTTTATTAGTTAATTTTTTTTTTCCAGTAATAGATCAATGTGAAGGTACAAAAAATTGCATGAAACCTCATCAGTTCTGCCAAAATGTTTATAGCAATTTTAGTTTTATATGTTTGTGTCGTGATGGTTACCAAAAAGTAGGAGATGAGTGCATAGGTTTGTTAAAATTTGTTCTTAAAACTGTTTGAAAACATGGAGGTGAGTGTAGACTTAATGACTTTTGCTACAGTTTCATTCCTAAAACTGTTTAAAAATATTTAAGCACCATACCTATGAATTTATTTTTACATTTATAGTGTTTACAATTTAACTTTATGTAATTTTATATGAAAACATGAAAGTAACTTAAAAACAGTTCTATTAAATTATTTTCTTTTTTTTTTAGCAATTAATGTAAGTGTGTGCAATCAGTCTTCAAAGAATAATATATCGTTATGCTCTTTTAATCAACAATGTTTTGATACAAAATCAAGTTATGAATGTAGATGTCTGACTGGTTATGAAAAAACTGAATCTGGACAATGTCAAGGTTTTTCTTTTTTTCAGTCTTGCGTAAATTTTTTAAAGAGTTTAGAAACATATGCAATATTTTAATGTTTGTTTTTTTGAATGTTTTTGCTAAATTGTTGAAATGTTTTAAAAAAGTATTCTACTTAATAATGGTTTTTTTAAAATTACTCATGCAAACACTAAAATCATTCAAGTAACTTGGTAACTAGGGTGCAAGTTATTTTTACAATCCTTATGTTCTAAATGTATTTTTATTTATTAGATATAAATGAGTGTGAAGGAAATGTTTTAGCTTGTCAACCTAATGCTGATTGTATAAACACTAATGGGAGTTATTACTGTAAATGTAAAGAAGGTTTTGTTGGAACAAATGTCAGTAATACAACCATGATGCTCTGCTACAGTATATAAATTTATATATTAATTTATATAGTTTTTCATATTTATTTTAATTAATTTAATAATAATAACATCAATGAAAATAATAAATTTAAAATAAATCAACATTGTTGATGATATGTTTAAATTATAATAGGTAATAGGTATCAGTATCTGTTGTATTAGGTATCAGTACCTGTTATACTAGGTACTAGTATCTGTTATATTAGGTATGTTCTTCTTGGCAGTTTGTATTTTGGTTTTCAGACTTTACTTATCATAACCATTATTTTAATTGAATCATCTTGTCAATGCACTTCATTTGCAGTAATGGAATCAACTTGTGTTAACTAGAAATGATCTAGTTGTGATTTGTAGAGTCAAATGATTATTTTAATAATTATATTATTCTAATAACTAATAAATTAAATATTTACTTTTTTGAAAATGCTTTTATTAAAAGTAAGAAAAATAAAAACTTAAGTTAAAGAACCAATTTATTTATAAAATCTTGTTTTTATAAAACTTAAGTATAAAATTTGGTGTGTAATAAAAATCATTAAGCTATTGATAGTACTCAATAAAAAATCACAAATCATTTTTATTTTAACTTGAACTTATAGTGTTGTTCAGACTTAAGATAAGACTTGCGATAAGACTTGCAGTTTTTAGTTACACTAGGAATTAGACCTTTTTGTAATTAAATAACAGTTATAATTACTTAAGTTCAAAAATTCGTCTTATTTTTTTTTTTTTTTACAAGAAACTAATTTGTAATTAAGTTTGTAAAGTTTCTTTTAACTAAATAAATAAGTTTTAAATTACCAAAATAAACTATTTTTAAATATGTTGTTTTTTAATTATTTTTTAATTTAAACTTTTTGTGATGATCATAAAGACAATGATATAGCTATCATCATTATCTATATAAATAAATGAGTTCACATCAATACATTTGAATTACATTAAGTTCGAAAGAGATTTGTTTTTTCCTTCTAATTATTTTTCATATTATTTTTAATAATTTACAAATAATAAGGGTGTTCTCTTATACTGTGTAGGGTATACACCCTCCAAACGCATGTGACTATGGAAAAGCATATTTCTTAAAAATTAAATTTATTTGCTTTTATAATAAAAAAACAATTATAATCTTTTATATTTAAGTTGTAACTCAAAATTAATAGACTATTTTATAATGTAGTAAAATAGTTTGTTTAACTTCAAGTAATTTTTTAAGCAACTAGTGTTTGGAGTTCCTGGGAACAAATTGGTGTTTGCAGTGAGCGGTGTTCAACAAACAAAAATCAAGGAAGATTGAAGTTTCAAAGATTTTGCGAAGCAATTGATTTTAGCAATTGTAATGGAGATTTTTTCAAGCAAGAGATGTGCAACTCTGAGTTTTGTGACAACAGTAGGTTGTTTTTTAATGTTACTATTTTTAAAATTTTTGCTATTATTCTGATATACTGGACTTAATAACAAAAATTTAATTAAAAAAAAATATATGCTGAACAAAATTATTTTTTTGAAAATCATTCAACTGAAATTTTTAAATATTGTATGTACCAATCCTAATTATTTTAAATGAACTAATCCAATTGGTTCATTTAATAGATTTTGTTTCTTGTTTAAACAACAGCTAGTTAAATTGAATTTAAACCAACATTTATGATAAAAAGGGACACGATAGGACAAAATGTATATAATTTTTTTACTTTCAAAATGTATAATTCATTTAGTTATTTGTATCATTCATTAGTTATTTTTAAACTGCAGTCAATAAAAGAAAAGAAATAAAGAAAATTTAAGATTATATTTTAAGAAATAAAGATGATATAAAAAATACTTTTAAACATTTTTAAAAAACAAAAAGATCGGTTTGGTTTCAGCTCTAAAAAAAAAGGTAAAATTTTGTCTCTTAATGTCTGTGCTTAGGTTGTATCTTGTTAAAATAAAATTTTTATAAATCTCATAAGAAAGATGTTTTAAGAAACTGTTTCAAGCTGTTTCACAAATTCTTTACTTTTTACACAAAGTTCTTTCAGCTTTTTCAAAAACTTTAATCTATTTTCAATTGTTATAAATTTTTTTTCTCATTTTTTAAATTAACTTTAAAAGTCATCAACGTTTTTAAAAAGCTCTTGTTTTTTTTTTTGAGGTTTTAGAAGGAAAAATTTCTTAGTCTTTAATCAGAAAATAGAATTTCTCTCACTTCAAACTGAAGTTCGATCTCAAATCTGACCAGTAAGAAAAAATGTTCCACACCTTTTTAATGACTTATCTAGTCTAAAAACATGAAGTATGATTTTCTTTTTTGTAGCATAAACGTTAACCTTCAAATCTGCATTTTTCAAGTTCACATTTCTGCATTTTTTTTTTTCTTTTAAAGTATTTTGTAGTTTAATTAAATTTTTTTTAAACTAAAACTCTTGATCAATGTGTAATTATTTTTATTCGTTTATAGTATTTGAATTTTTAATATATATTTTTTATTATTTACTTCAATATGTTAAAACTAACATATAGAAGTACGAAAAATGATACATACAAAATTTTGTTTTTTTAGAAATTGAGATTCTGAAATCAATTGATTGCCAGAAGTGGCCATACATGCAAGCTAATCTTATTAGTCAAACTGTTTTAAATAACGAAACTTGGTTAAAAAAACTCAGAACTTGGGGAGGTTGGAAAGCAAAAAGTAACAATTACCCATAGTTGTTTAAAATATATTTTTTTAATTCAGCGTAAGTTTTTAATGACAGTTTTTAATTATGCTAAATTTATGTCTAGCCTGTGGTCAACTTTTAACTGATGCCAGCAAAATTGTTAATCAAGATATAGAGATTATAGTTAAAGAAATTAAGCTTTTGCTTGATGACAGAAATACTTTACAAAAAGTTATTGATTGTAACACTAGCAATCAACAGAAAAATAGTCTTCAAAGACAATATATTGCTATTTACTCGCGTCTCACAATGTACCGTGCTATCAAAGCTACTTTAAGCAAGTTGAAATCTAGAATTGATGTGAAACTTAACGAATGCACCCGTCAATTAAGTGAGATTTGTTTTATTTAAAAAAAAAAAAACATTTATTTTGTAATTTATTACATTTATTTTTTAAAATGTTTATTTTAGCTATGTTTGGTTCTTATGCAAGCATGTAAAGAATGTGATCAACTTTGATTTATGTTAACTGCACCTATTTTTACAGTTTTATTTGCTACTTTTTACTGGTTTCAATAAATCAGTCTATATCATAGTTGTTATTTATAGCGCGTTGCTGACGCATGACCAGAAGAAAAAAAGATTATATGATTTTTTTAATTTCAAAATGTCTTCTAAACTATATTTTTGAAGGAATTTCTCCTGTAGCTAAACAGAAAAAAAATTAACCGTTAATTTTTTCGAGAAAAAATTATCGGTATTTTCCTTAGAAAAAAATTTATCTTTAAAAGTAAAAGTTAGTTGGTTTTAAAAAGGTTTTCCGGTGCTCTTTTTGTAATATATACTAATATATAGAGTATATAATACACTTTATTATATATATATATATATATATATATATATATATATATATATATATATATATATATATATATATATATATATATATATATATATATATATATATATATATATATATATATATATATATATATCTGTGTGTGTGTGTGTGTGTAAAAAAATATATATATTTACATATAAGTTTATATTTATGTGAAAAAATATATGCTTTATATATAAGTATATATTTATGTGAAAAAATATATACTTTATACATATAAGTATATATTTATGTGAAAAAATATATACTTTAGATGTCTTCATAGATCTAAGTAAGGCCTTTGATATAGTTGATCAAATAACTCTTTTGTCCAAACTGGAAATCTATGACATCAAAAGTTTAAACTTGGCTTAGTTTAAAAGTTATTTATCTAACAGAAAGCAATATATTTCCTAAAATGATGGAAAAACAGTTAATATAATTTTTACACACTGTAAAAAAACTACGTTGTATTTATCAGACTTTTTCCGTTGTTTTGTTACGGAAAAAATCCGTTTTTTTAATAAATTACGGTCTTTTACCTTTCCGGAAAGGTAAAAGACCGTAATTTATTAAATTAATAAAATTATTTCAAAAGTCTTGAAAGGAATTCCTTTCAAGACTTTTGAAATAATTTTATATGATTTTGTCCGTATTTTTGATAAGGAGAAGTTCCGTAACTTTAAATTACGGACTTAACCCATGTATTTTAGTATACTTTAGTATAGCCTCTCATTTACAGAGCGCCGTAGTACTTTTTAACGAGGAGAAACTATACAGGTATATAATTTCAAGTTAGAGATTTTAATATATTTATATTTGTTTTACTGGAACTAAAGCGCTGTATGTTTTTAAAAAAGTGCATTTACAAAAAATTCTCTATAATTACGGTGCTGATTAAGGATGCTGTTATAAATAGATATAGATATTTATTAAAGATAGGTACTTCTAAAAACTAGTTTTCTATATTATATCCTTGCAGTCGAAAAGTCACGTGTTTATACAAAATAACAATAGCGCAATTTGTTACCATCTTTGATGGGGGAAAAAGTAGTTGAGTTAGTAAAGCAGGAGAGTTTGTACGAAAAAGTGATTTAAAGAGTTTAAAAAAAGAAAAGTTTACGAATACTTTGAAAAATTAGATTTTAACGCCGCAGAAAGGTATATAAATAAACTTGCAATCCTTGGAATCAACCGATGTCTATACAACTTCCTTGCAAATACTTGGAAAGATGATCAAGCTGAATGGCCATGAGTTCAACACCATGATGTTTATAATTATTTAATAAAAAGCCCTATAATATTTTTTTTGAGGCTATAGATAATTACGAAGCATTAGATGCTTATAAATAATTTGGCTTTGGCTAGATTCAGAATGTTTTTCACACGACGTTAAGCTCTAGTTTTATTGTTTTGAAAACACAAGTTGTCTGACTTAGCATTTAAAACAACAAAACCATCTTAGTCACCAGAGTTGACTCAAAATAACAAAATCATCTCACAAAACATATATATTTGTATACATATATATATATATATATATATATATATATATATATATATATATATATATATATATATATATATATATATATATATATATATATATATATATATATATATATACATATATACATATATATATATATATATATATATTTATATATGTGTGTGTATGTATATATATACATATATATATATATATATATATATATATATATATATATATATATATATATATATATATATATATATACATATGTGTGTGTATGTATATATATACATACATATATATATATATATATATATATATATACATACATACATACATACATACATACATACATACATACATACATATATATATATATATATATATATATATATATATATATATATATATATGACGTATTAATAGTGTTGTGACCAAAATATATATATATATATTTATATATATATATTTATATATGTGTGTGTGTATGTATATATATACATATATATATATATATATATATATATATATATATATATATATATATATATATATATATACATACATATGTGTGTGTATGTATATATATACATACATATATATATATATATATATATATATATATATATATATATATATATACATACATACATACATACATACATACATACATACATACATACATACATACATACATACATATATATATATATATATATATATATATATATATATATATATATATACATATATACATATATATATATATATATATATATATTTATATATGTGTGTGTATGTATATATATACATATATATATATATATATATATATATATATATATATATATATATATATATATACATATGTGTGTGTATGTATATATATACATACATATATATATATATATATATATATATATATATATATACATACATACATACATACATACATACATACATACATACATATATATATATATATATATATATATATATATATATATATATATATGACGTATTAATAGTGTTGTGACCAAAATATATATATATATATTTATATATATATATTTATATATGTGTGTGTGTATGTATATATATACATATATATATATATATATATATATATATATATATATATATATATATATATATATATATATATATATATATATATATATATATATATATATATATACATACATATGTGTGTGTATGTATATATATACATACATATATATATATATATATATATATATATATATATATATATATATATATATATATATATATATATATATATATACATACATACATACATACATACATACATACATACATACATACATACATACATACATACATATATATATATATATATATATATATATATATATATATATATATATATATATATATATATATATATATATATATATATATATGACGTATTAATAGTGTTGTGACCAAAATTAAAAGTTGTAACTAACTAAACTAAAAATACCGTAACTAAAATTAGTCGACTAACTTTTTAGTTAACTAAAATAAGTCGGCTAATTTTTTAGTTAACTAAAATTACCCGACTAACATTTTAGTTAACTTAAATTAGTCGACTAACTTTTTATTTAACTAAAATCAGTCGACAAACTTTTTAGTTAACTTAAATTACCCTACTAAACTTAAACTACCCTACTTAACTTAAATTACCCTACTACTTTTTAGTTAACTAAAATTACCCGACTTACTTTTTAGCTAACTAAAATTACCCGACTAACTTTTTAGCTAACTAAAGTTACCCGACCAATTTTTTAGTCAACTAAAATTACCCGACTAACTTTTTAGTCTAACTAAAATTAACCGACTAACTTCTTAGTTAACTAAAATTAACCGACTAAGTTTTTAGTCTAATTAAAAAAATTTATAAATATATAACATAAATAGTTTGGGTTCATGATATCATTTCTATTAGAATTTTTGAACAAGTTTGCTAATGCATGATCTTTTTACTGCATAATACCGCAAAAATAAAACAATTTCAAAATAATTTTTTTTTAATTTTCAGTGCCAAAGTTTTAACGAGATACTTTAGGAAAATATTTCATAAAAACTCTAAAAACTAAACAAGGTAAAACACAAATATCTTTAGAATTGAACAAGCTACCAAGGCCACTGCAAAGGAGTCAGGGGATGGGGTGGTTGGTTTTGAGTGTGATATCCCACCAATCAACATTTAGCCCATTTAGTAAGCCAATTTGTAAATCAATGATACGGTAGTGGTGTAGTAGTAAAACGCTCGCTTCATAAGCAAGAGATTCCAAGTTCAACCCCACCAAGTCCCTAGTAATACCGCGCTGAACTTGTTTCTCCACGCAGCGGCCTTGTTCGCCAAGGTTCGTGTTTTGGAGTTATAGAGTCGAGAGAGGGTTATAACCACTATTAAGTAGCCTCCTCATCTGTAGAGGCCTTCTCGGCCTTCAGGAGGTGAATGAAAAAAAAATATTTGACTCTTTTAGATAAGTAAGTCGGCAAATGTAGTTTTGCAGAACAGTCAGTTGGTAAATTTACGTGTTACCTACTTGTGCCGGCCAAGTAAATTTCAGAGGTAGTTCAAACAAATTTTAAAATGAAATATCTGAATGCGATACATTTAAAAAATTTACTTAAGTTGTTTTTACAATTGCTTCATTTAAATTACTCCCTAATTATTTTTATAATATTTTTTATAAAAATAATTAGGGAGTAATTATTTTTATAAAAATTACTCCCTAACACATAAAAAAGTTTATAAAAATAATTTTTATAAACCTTTTTATGTGTTTGTTGTGAAGTTAGATAAGGGTTAGATCGCCAAGTATTTTTCATTTGCCATTTGAGTTTTTCAGGTTTTAAATTAAAGTGAATTATATATTATAAAAAAAAAATTATGTGAACCTATTATATAATAAATAAATAATGTTTTTTCAAAGTTATGTTATGAGCATATGAGCATATTTGGATTTTCTTTATTTGACACCTCCAATAATTTTTAGATCTAACAGTTTGTAAATTATTCAGTTCTACACTCTTAAAATGCAGATAATTATTGTGACGACTATTAAATTGTAAAATTAAGGCAATCAAATTTTTTTATTATAATTATATTGCTTAATTGAATATATATATCTTGTTAAATTATTCTCTTTTTTTTTTAAATGTTGTTAAACATAATATTAACTAAAT